AATTGAAAAAAATCCGGTAAAATTGCCACGTAGGAAAGGCGCCCGCTGCCGTGGCCTAGGTTTCTCACTGAAAATCCTCGTCCCCCGGCGGCACCTTTTTTTGAATTTTCTTCCTTTTCAACGCCGTTTTTCGGGACTTTCGGATTTTTTTTGAATTTTTTCGCAATAATATTCGGAAAATAGATAAATTTTAACACATTTTAATGCAATAAAAATTTTTGGTCGGAGTCCGTTTTACCCTTTAAAGTTTTAGCATTTTCAGATTCTGAAGTTGCGGAATTCTCAGATTGCGAATTCTGGAATTCCAAAGTTCTGAAATTCTGAGATGTTGAAGTTCTGAAATTCTGAGATTTCGAAGTTCTAAAATTCGGAAATTCTCAGATTCTCAGATTCTGAAGTTCCGAAATTTTCAGATTCCGAATTTTGAAATTTTCAAGCTCTGAAATTCAGGAATTCAGAAACTTCGTCAGAAAAATTGTACCTCCGAATCACAAACGTTGTACCCCTACATGAAATTAGTTGTACCCTAGAATCATTGATAGTTTGTACCCCCGAATCGTTGTACCCCCGAATTTTTGTACCCCTAAATCAGTTGTACCCCCTTGTACCCCGAATTTTTAGCCATTTTTATAGGACTATCAACTTTGAGCCCATGTATCTCATTTCCTGTGAAATATATCGAAAAGTGGCCAACTGATTAAATGTTTATCATAATATCAACAGTATTTTACTAGTTGACCACTTTTTGGTTTTTGTTACAGGAACCGAGATAAATTGCCTCAAAGTTAGGGAGGCACTTTATAAGAGTACGGTATTCACAGTATTTGGAAGAGCTGCACCTTTTGTTGGGCTTATAGACTAATTCTGAAAAAACTTCTTCTTGAAATCGACAAACTAATACAAAGAAAACGGTTCAAAAACCATCTTTCTAGCAGTTACGGGAGCGGAGATACATGCCGTCAAAGTTTGAGACGCAGACGACGAGACGCTCTAACTTCTAAAACTTCAAATAGCCGTATCTCGGCTCCCAGAACAGCTAGAAACTTGGTTCTTTTTGTGTTCTGGAGGATTTTTCTTCTATTTTTTATAAAACAAGCTCTACCGTATCAATTTTCTTTTCCAAATCGTCCAACTTCTCCATCACCGGGTCCTTCTCTTCAGGTGCAAAAGCCATGAGAGCCTTGAGTAATCCTCCGACTCCTGCAATGTCTCCCAGCGCTTCAGCGACATTTTTGAATATGAATTTTCCGTTTTCCAAGAATTCCTGGGTGAGGTCGATGACTTTGTTAACGTTGTCTGAAAAAATGAGGGCATATTTTAAAGATACCGTATACACTATATTTGAACGCCACCCGGACCATTTTCTTTGAGCCTATATATCTCATTTCTCTTGAAAGAAATCGAAAAGTTGTCAACTGATAAAATGTTTATCATGATATCAGCAACATTTTATTAGTTAACCACTTTTTGATATCTCTCACAGAAAATGAGATACATGGGCTCAAATTTAACAATTCGGGTACTTTGAAAAACGGAAAAACTTACCAGTAGACATTATTTTCTGTCAATTGGAGTGGTTGTTTCGGGTAGGTGGGGGTTATTTATATACTGAGAAACACAATGATCATGAACCAAACCTTATCAAAATCTGTCCAAACGATTAATGTCAACTTTCCGAAGCAATAAAACACAAAAGATTGGTTTAGATACAAAGATCATGCCAATTGTTTGAATTTCATCGTAATTTTTTTCTGGTTTTTTCCGATTCTTTTTAAAATTTTCTCTCCAAATATTTCATTGAAAAAATGTTTAAAAAATCAAGTTTATTGGAATTTAATTAAATATATCAAGGAATACAAAAAACAATTAAAAATGGTGAAACAGTAGCACAACCAAAAGTGAATTATTGAATGACTAGTCGATTCGAAAACTAAAAATTCCAAAAAAAATTATTTTTAAAAATTCAGTATGAGATTGAACACTGCAGTGCAAAATTTTCCTCCAAAATGCTGAAAATTAAGTTTTTTAAATCAAAAAAGTGGAAAATATGAATTCACAAACATGAAAAACTGAATGGGAAATTACACATATGAGTCTTCGTTTTTTTTTTAATTTTCCAAAATTAATTACTTTGCCAATTTATGAAAGGGAAGTTGCACATGTGGGTGATCTGAAAAATAAACAGAATAGAGAATATGAAAATTTTCAAAAAAAAAATCAAAAACATTTTAGACCACCTGAATCAGTTGGCAGTCAAATAAAAAACGAATAGAATGAAGAATAGTTCGGGAATAGTTTGACGGTTTTAAACGGAAATTTTGTATTTGCTTTGGGCGGAAAAAAGCACAAAAAAAATGAAGAAAAAGTTCAGGGACCCAGGGACCCAGGGACCCAGGGACCCGAAAGTTAGAAATTCACAAATTCCTAAATTTTCAGATAATTTATGTTTTTTTTTCAATTTCTCTGAAAAATATTTTTAAAAATTTAACCTGAAAATTCTATTAAAACAGTAAAAATAATTTTAAAAATCAAATTTATTCAAAAAATTTAAAAAATTATGAAGCAGAAACAACTCCACATTTTTGGATTTATGAAAAGCAACATTATTTCAAAAACTACAAAATATCACAATTCGAAACAAAAGCATGTATATACTTGCAGATGGTTTTAAAAAATTTAAAAATACAAAAAAAAATACGAAACCCTCAAAAAAAACTAATTCAACCTCGTATACCGCTGTGCATGCCGTACGATTTTTATAAATTTAAAATTTAAAAAATGAACGGGAACGGTTAGTTACACATTTCGAACTTTGTACCCGTCAGTATTGTTGATCTCTGAAAACTAAAAAATTTTAATGAAAACGTTTTTTTTGAAATTCCAGAATTTTCAGAAAATCTGATAATTCAAAGTTTTCGTTTTTTTTTTTAAATTCAAAAAAAAAACTTAAGAAAATTACACATTTCTAAGATAATTGAAAGTTCCGAGTTCTGAGATTTTTTGCAATTTCTAGAAAAAATATATAAATTTGAAATCTTACCTATTTTTGGTTGATATGTAAATATTTCCAATATTTAGTACCCGTAGAATCTGAAATAATAGTTTGTTTTTTAAAATTTCAGCAGTCAATTGTCAGCAATTTTTTATTAAAAAAATTTTTTTTTAATAAAAAAATTTTTTTTTTACTTCAGCAGTTAATTCTCAGCAATTTTTTATATTAAAAACTTTGGGAAATTAATTTTTTAGCATTTTTTCAATCAACTTTTGATGAATTTTGTGATGTTTTTTAATTAAATTTTTTATTGAAAATCTGCAATAAAAAATTAAAGAGAACTCACCATATCTTTAAAAAAATACTCTGAAAAATCAAAAAAAAAGTTGAGGGCCCCGAATTCAGTTGGGATCCATGAGGAGAAAAAAAAGAATGAAAAGAAGAGCTGAGCAATTTCTCTTTTCTCCTTCTCGTTTCTCTGCGTCTCTTTTTGAAGGAAATGTCTGGACACTAGCCATCGAAAAAGATGGCGGTACCAGGGGGTGCCCCCTGGCACGGAAAAAATGAAAGATGAAAAATTTAGAAGAGACGCAGAGAGAGAGGCTCTGTGGGAGGACTCCTATCTCTTCTGGCTTTTAAGGATGAGGAGGGATTCTTGGGAATTTTGGAATTTGGGGATTTTTGGATTTTTTATCGTCTAGGATTTTAGGAGGTTTTAGAAATTCTTTTTCTGGATTTCTGGGATTCCAAAAAACCGATACTTTGAAAAACCCTAAAATTCTGAACTTCAGAGAAAAAATATGAGTTTTTGAAATTCAGAGAATTGGGAATTCCGATTCTTACCATTCTCCAGGTCCCACAATCAAAATTCTTATCTTCTTCTAAATTGCAATCAATAGAAGTATCATATCAGTCATTGCGATTCTCAAAAGAATCGAATTCATTGATGACATGCGCATCTGGCGACGTGACAAAGTGTAGACGTGGAATATATTCACAAACATGTCAATGGAAGCGAAAATGTATTCATATCCACCGACTACAGTAACCAGGTTACTGTAATTTCGAAGAATTTCAGAAAAAAAAAACTTTTTGAAGTTACTTCGAATGTTTTTTGTACTTTTTTGGGAAAACTTTTTTGGGAAAAAAACAGAAAAAAACAATTTTTTGTGATTCCAGGGAAAATATTCAGACGTCAACCATACTGGGAAAACAAGGAGCAAAAAAGGTCAAGTTGTTGGAAAAATAAGAGGTCACAAGAGGTTTTTTATTCAGAAGACGTCGGATTTCTAAGAATCAGAAGAAGGCGACGTGACAGAGTGTAGACATCGAATATACCGTAAAAACTGTAGTATAACGCCACTCGTAATAGAAGACCCCCAAGTAAAAAACTAATTTCTGCTACCTCGCATCATCCCAAAACACCCCTCCGGAAAATAGAACACCATGGCGCTATATTACAGGTTTTACGGTATTCATAAATACGGCTATGGAAGCGAACATGTACTCATGTCCACCAACTACAGTAACCAGAATACAGTAATTTTGAAAAAAAAAACTTTATAACAATTTTTTTTCGAACGATTTTGTACCCCTTTCTCTATGGAAAAAAGTAATTTCCTCATTAAATTTTCAAAAATTCAGAATTTTCCAAATTTCAGATTTTTTATGTTTTCATCAAAAAACACATTTTTTGCATGAAAAATTTTTGACGACGTCGTCATTTTTTTTAAATCAAAAATCATCAACTTTGTGATTCTGATGAGACAACATCTTCTGATTCTTAGAAATCCGACGTCTTCTGAACAAAAAACCTCTTGTGACCTCTTATTTTTCCAGCAACCTGATCTTTTTTGCTCCTTCTGTTCCCAGTATGGTTGACGTCTGAATATTTTCCCTGGAATCACAAAAAATTGTTTTTTCTGTTTTTTTCCCAAAAAAGTTATTCAAGAAAATCTTTTCGTTCGAAAAAAAGCTTATTCATTTTTCTCATGAGTACCACAAATTCTACAGATTTACAACTATTTTTCAGGTGATTTTTTGAATTTATTTTTTAAATTTTTCGAAAAAATTAATTCGAAAATTACTGTAGTTAATTAATTAATTAGTATTCAGAATATTGCCTATTAAAAATAATCGCACGAGTGAACAGGTTTAGACACTCTCTACACGTTTTTTGCTCGTTCACTCGTGCGATTATTTTTAATAGACAATAGTTGACTTTCACCAATAAAGTACAAAAAATATTCGAAGTAACTTCAAAAAGTTTTTTTTTTCTGAAATTCTTCAAAATTACAGTAACCTGGTTATTGTAGTCGGTGGATATGAATACATTTTCGCTTCCATTGACCTATTTGTGAATATATTCCACGTCTACATTCTGTCCCGTCGTCAGATGCGCACGTCTTCTATGAATTCGATTCTTTTGGGAATTGCGATGGCTGATATGGCATTTCCGATAATTGCAATTAAGAAGAAGATTAGAATTTGGATCGTGGGAACGGGAGAATGGTAAGAAATCGGAATTCTGGATTTCTGAATTTCTGAATTTCTGAATTTCTGAATTTCTGAATTTCTGAATTTCTGAATTTCTGAATTTCTGAATTTCTGAATTTCTGAATTTTTGAATTTCTGAATTTCTGGTTTTTTTTCTAATTAGCTTTTTTCATTTCCGCTTTTTTTGTTTTTTTTTCTGAAATTATTTTTTTCCATTATTTATTAAAAACCAAAAAAATTGGTTTCTGTGATTTCTGATTTCTGAAAAAATGTGAAGACTTAGTTATTTTTTCTGATTTCTATTTCCACGTTTTATGAGTGACATGGGAAAAATGTATCATAATTTTACATATTCGGAATTTCAGAAATCAGAATATCAAAAATATGAAAATTTGAATATTCAGAAAATCCCATTTTTCAATCTCAATTTTCAGCATTCCCCCAGAATCAATTCTGGAGCAGAACATCAATTGGTTACTGTACACCCTTCGTGACGACTTCAGAAGATGTTCCACGTGGCTAGGGCTTATGTTGGCTGCCGTACGTACAGTAGCCGTCAGAAATTCAATGAATCATAGGTATGTGGACATCCGGACGCAGAAATAGACAGCTTTTTCAGATTCAATTACATTTCTAAACCAATTTTCGGGTGGAAAATCAATCTTTCAGTTTTATTGCTCAGCTCATTTTTATCGATTTTCTACTATTTCAGATTTGAAATGATGGAGAATGGAACGTTCTGGACGATGCCTTTGAAGTAATTTCTTGAATTGCCGTAAAACCTTTTCCAAGGTCCCTCTCAGAGGGCCCTTCTATTAGAAAGGCCCTTCTATTAGAGGGGCCTTCCTAATACAGGTTTTACGTTGTTTTATCATTGTTCTGGAAAAAAATCTGAAACTAATTTTTCAGCTGTCCTGGGTACAATCCATCGTATTTTGTGCCAAATGTCATTTTTCAAGAACGCGATTTTTATAAAGCCTCCGACGGATTATTCAGAAACATTAATTTAATAATTGGGGGAGGAATCGGAAAAATTTTACCATGTATTTTGTTTCCAACACTTACGATTATACTGATTAGAGAGTTAAAGAAAGCGAGGTTGGCAAGAGAGAAGGCGAAAAAAGAGAGTATTGGAGGAAAGAGGTGAGTTCGGGTTTCTAGGCATGGAGTGGGAAAGTTAGGCCAGGAAAGAAAAATTGGAATTCTCGACCACTTACCGTATTCCTCTAATAGAAACCTTTCCATACGGTCAACTTTGAGCTCAATTATCTGAATTTCTGAATTTCTGAATTTCTGAATTTCTGAATTTCTGAATTTCTGAATTTCTGAATTTCTGAATTTCTGAATTTCTGAATTTCTTTCTTAAATTTCAAAATTTAAGAAACTCAATAATCCCGAATTTTGAGAATCAGAAACTTCTAATGAATCCAAAAATATGAGAAATCCAAAATCCGATTTTTGAAAAAAATCCGAAAAATGAAAAACTCAAAAATCCGATTCTAGTATTTTTCAAAAAAAAATCTTAAAGAAAAGAACTAACAACTCGTCTTGTGATCTACATGACCGTCTCATTTTTTGCTATCGAATTCCCAATTGGAATTTGTTTTTGGGTCGAAGCAGCCTCAAGTGCATTCAATGAAAAGTGAGCTACTTTATAAAATTTTATCAAAGCTTTCCAAAAAAAATATACCAGAAGCGTCGCCACAAGCATCATCCAACTTCTGAATATGATCTACGTCGTCATGACACTCTCTCATTTTTCAATCTGCTTTTTCATGTCTTCCCAATATCGAACAACCGTCAAATCGATTTTTCAAAGAGAAAATTCGATTAAAAATCAAACAATGTCAGTGGTCAGTGTGATGCAAAATGCAAGATCTGGAAATAGTTCGAATATGTGAAGATTGAAATTTTTCTAATTTTTGCGTTTTTTTCACGGAAAAATAATATTTTGTATTTTATATATTTTTTTTAACCAGCTTGTTTGCCGCGCCTCCGGCGCTTCAAACAGCTGAAATTAACCTTTTTCTTTTACTGTTCGTCGCTTCGCGACTCATTTTTTTTAAAGGTCACGTGAATCTATATTTTATTTCAAACCAGTCGGTTTACGCCCCTTCGGGGCTAAACCTCCTGGCCCCCTGTCGCCCTCCATCAAAACGTGGATTTTGAAAAAAGTGTTTCAAAGATAACTCTTTCCTATAAACATTTTCATATTTTCCCCCAAAACCATTTGTGCATTTTTTTCTCTAATTTACTTTCTATTTCAATTTTTGAAAATTTCTCGAAATAAAACTTTAATAGTGCAGTTGAATATTTCTGAAACCACACCTCCTGAAGAGATACAGTATCCCCGACAAAAATATACTATCACTTGATTTTACCGTAAGGTAGTCGACTTTGACGTTCTTTAAAAAATTAGTTAAACATTTTTTCGATTTGTCTTTAAATTCCAGAGTGTACTAACTAAAAATAAAGCTATATTTTTGTGATGGACAAATTTTAAATCAAAAAATGAAAATCAAAAAAAATAATGAACATTCAAAAAAGTTCCCAAAATGCTACTGTAAAATAGCTCTATCTGGCAAATTGAAACCGTCAATCTTCTGGAAACAAATATTCCGATTTCCAGAATGAAATCGAATTTCCAGAATTTTTTCAGGATTCGAAGTTCTGAAAAACCACTTTTGACCATATTTGTCGGCTCTCCCTGGTGGAAAATATGGAGCTCCAAACGTTTTGATGAGCATTTTTTCGAATTTGAAGTATTCGAATTCAATTCGGAAACATTCCATTGTTTGGGAGGAGAGGAGTGTCTGAAAATGGGATTTTAGGATTTTAGGATTTCTGAATTTCTGAATTTCTGAATTCTCGGATTCTAGGATTTAGGGATTTCCGAATTCCCGGATTCCCGGGTCCCCAGATTACCGGATTTCCGGATTTCCGGATTTCCGGATTCCCAGATTTCCGGGTTTCCGGATCCCCGGATTTCTGGCTTTCCGGGTTTCCGGATCTCCGGATTCCCGGATTTACAGATTCCCGGATTTCTGGATTCCCGGATTTCTGGATTCCCGGACCTCGGTATCCCGGGTAATTTCTAAATTTTCGAATTTCCGAATTTCGAAAATTCTGAATTTCTGAATTTCCGAATTTCTGAATTTCTGAATTTCTGAATTTCTGAATTTCTGAATTTCTGAATTTCAGAATTTCAGAATTTCAGAATTTCAGAATTTCTGAATTTCTGAATTTCAGAATTTCAGAATTTCTGAATTTCTGAATTTCTGAATTTCAGAATTTCAGAATTTCTGAATTTCTGAATTTCTGAATCTCTGAATTTCTGAATTTCTGAATTTCTGAATTTCTGAATCTCTGAATTTCTGAATTTCTGAATTTCTGAATTTCTGAATTTCTGAATTTCTGAATTTCCGGATTCTCGGATTTCTGGATTCCTGGGCCCCGGTATCCCGGGTTTCCGGATTCTCGGATTCCCGGATTCCCGGATTCACGAATTCCCGGATTCCCGGATTTTCGGATCTCCGGATTCCTGGATCCCTCCCCCGGGTCACTTTCTCAAGAGCCCGATTTTTGAATCTTTTGGAATTTTTAAATTTCTGAGTTTTGGAAGATTTATCTTTCTGAATTTCTGAGTTTCTGAATATTTGAAATTTGAAATGTTCGAATTTTTGAACTTTAGAAAAATCACTAACCTTTTTAAATTCCAAAACCTGTTCCCAAGAAATCGCCTCAAAAATCAAGTCGATTTTTTCGAAATTCTCCGAAATTCGAATCTCCGGGTCCACATAAAATCCATTAATCGTCAATTTTTTGGCATTTTTCCATTGATTCAATTTTGAAATTTCTTCCAAATCCCAATATTCTTTTTCATCGTTTTTATTCCAAATTTCCAGAGTTTTCGGATTTATTTTCGATAAAATTTTGGGAATTTGACAAGGATTCGATGTTTCAATTTCGAATTTTCCAAGTTCGAAATTTGAATTATTCTCATAATTTGCCGCCAAAATTTTTCGAATTCCATAGATGATTTTTAAGGGATTTCCAGCTAGATCCAGCTGGAATTTCTCCATTTTCAGCTTTTGATTCTTCCAGAAAATCTCGAAATCCTTCAAAAAAATATCCATATAATTCGAATTTGCCAAAATTCTTTTCTTTTGATCCCACTTCAACAAACTTGATCTATTTGGAAGCGTCTGATAAATTATCAATCTTTCCGAATTATCCAAAAATCGATAAGTCGATTTTATTGATTTTGGTTCTACAGTAATCCGAATGCTTTGTAATTTTGGATTCATTTTTCGGAAATTATCGATGAAAAATCGAATAGATTGGCAAACTTTTCGAAGGGAAATTCTGCAATTTTTTTTGGAATTTTGTCAAAAATTGAAAAAAAAACTTACAAATCGAAAAAATCCAAATCGGATAATATCTTTTCCATGACTAGTTCGGGCATGTTTTTTAGAGAATTTCTATTGGAATCCATTTCTTCGGTCTGAAAGAAACACATTTTTAGAAAAAAAAATTATGAAATTAAGAAATGAGAAAATTCAAAAATTCGGAAGATTGAAAATTTCACATTTTAAAAATTCAGAAATGCAGAAAATTCGAAATCTGGAAAAATCTTAAATTTTCAAGTTTCGAAAATTTTGAAAATTCTGAAATTTAAAGGGGGGGGACAGGAGATTTTACGGGGGATTTTTGGGGCCAGAGTATGCATTCCTACCGTCACGGTGTACAACGCTAAATGTCACTCTGCGTACAGCTGTCGTCCTCGCCTTTATGTATGCAATCGGGCAGCGGCTCTCTCTTTGCCCGCGTGGCTCAGTCGGTAGCGGCGCCGCACCTCCAACACTCGCCTCGACAAGTTCAACTCCTCGAGGGGCATATTTGAACGAAATTTCGACAACATTATTTTTCTCATGTCCCCCCACCTTAGAAAAAATCAAGAATTTGAAAATTAAGAAATTCGGGAATTCATGAGTTCCAGAAATTTAGAAACAGGAAAAAAAAAGTTTTTTGGAAATTCGAATCTTCAGAAATTCAAAAACTCAAAAATTCGAAAAATCGAAAATTATTAAAATTAGAAATTCAGAAATTCAATCATCCAAAACTCTGGAACTTCGGAACTCTGAAAACTAGAAAATTTTGAAAAAACCAGAATTTCAAAATTTCAGAACCTCAGAAAAGCAAATTATAAATCTGAAATCTTTATGAGTTTAAAAATTCAAAAATTCAAGAATCCAAAAATCTAAAAAAAAATCCGGAAATTTCAAAAAATTAATTTTTTTGATAAAAATACAATTTTTTTAATTTTGGAAAGTTATGAAATTTAAAAGAAAAATTGGAAAAAAATGTTTCGCAAATTTTTGTTTAGAATTTTATGTAAAAATAGAAAAAAATGGACGACAAATTTAAAATCAATGATATTGGTTTGAACAAATAGTGATAAAAAATTGATAACGAAAAAACTGGGCGAATTTCGATTTATTTACATTGTCTGTGAGAAAAACTGCTGACACATGCATTTATCTCTGCGTCTCTTCATTTTTTCTCGTTGTTCTCTTTTTTGTTCAGTAGAGCGCAATATCTCATACTGTCAATCAGTCAGGAAACAAGAAATTCAGAAATTCAGAAATTCAGAAAATCAGAAATTCAGAAATTCAGAAATTCAGAAATTCAGAAGTTCCGAATTTCAGAAGTTGTGAAAATCAGAAGTTCCGAAAATCAGAAAATCAGAAATTCAGAAGTTCAGAAATTCAGAAATTCAGAAAATGAGAAATTCAGAAATTCAGAAATTCAGAAATTCAGAAATTCAGAAATTTAGAAATTCAGAAATTCAGAAATTCAGAAATTCAGAAATTCAGAAATTCAGAAATTCAGAAATTTAGAAATTCAGAAATTCAGAAATTCAGAAAATGAGAAATTCAGAAAATGAGAAATTCAGAAATTCAGAAGTTCAGAAATTCAGAAATTTAGAAATTCAGAAATTCAGAAATTCGGAAATTCAGAAATTCAGAAATTCAGAAGTTCCGAAAATCAGAAAATCAGAAATTCAGAAGTTCAGAAATTCAGAAATTCAGAAATTCAGAAATTCAGAAATTTAGAAATTCAGAAATTCAGAAATTCAGAAATTCAGAAATTCAGAAATTCAGAAAATCAGAAATTCAGAAATTCAGAAATTCAGAAAATGAGAAATTCAGAAATTCAGAAGTTTAGAAATTCAGAAATTCAGAAATTTAGAAATTCAGAAATTCAGAAGTTCAGAAATTCAGAAATTTAGTTCAATAAAATTTTTATTTTCGGAAAAAGTTGAAAAAATACTCTAAACCAACTCTGAAGTCAAAACAAACTTAAAAAGAAATCAAAAAAGACATAAAAAAGATTTCGCTCCCGGGTGGGCTCGAACCACCAACCTTTCGGTTAACAGCCGAACGCGCTGCCTATTGCGCCACGGAAGCACAGGTCGCATTGAGCGAGGAGGGCGTACATAAGGCTGCCGTTGTGTGAGTGCCTTGTCGCTCCTTCTTATAGGTCTACGAAGTCGCGCCTCATTGTGTGCGTTAATGGCGTATTGGCAGCGCGCTGGGCTACCGATCTGGACACAGGTCCTGGGCGATGATGCGCATAAATGACCCGATCCATATGCGATCCTCTAGAAGTCCGTTCGACACATATCGCGAACAACGAGCTGCGATGAATCTCATATGTGTGCGATGCGGGGAGGCTGAATCGAGTGTTCCGAATGCGCGCGTATCCTAGATGGATGCTGGGTGGGTGGGCGATGTGTGCGATATGGGTCTGATACGGTAGGCAGACTACAACACTCCGAAATCCCGGATGCGCCCATTGTTTACCGTAAATCCACACCGGCAACTTTGTCAATTTTTCGTCAATTCGAGCCTACATTTCTGGTTTTTCGATTATTCCTTCGATGTTTTTTGTGAAAAAGAGTTATGGCAGACTAAAAAATCGCTGAATTCTTGCAGAAACATGTCTTTCACTCGTCAATTGCTATGTTTTTCTCCAAAATAGGTGATATTGAGATTTTTTGATTTCACTTTGTAATTATTGTAAAAATCGTATTTTCAGGTGGAATAAAAGGTAAGTTGGTAAGTATACAATAATTACAAAGTTTAAATTATAAAAATTTTCAATTTTTCATGCAATTTCAAAAAAAGTGAAAGTGAGACATATTTTTTGAAATGAAAACAAAACAATTTTTAGCGAATTTTTTCCCATTTTCTTCTGTTTTTGATTGCATATCAAATTTAAATGGAAACTGCCATAAGTCTTTTTCAAAACCAAAACATTGAGTTTCGAAAAATCAGTAATATGTCGTTCAAAATATAAAAAAATATGGAATAATAAAGGAAAAGTACGAAATCGGA